TGATTTGAAGAATAAATGAATGTAAAAATTCAATGGTAATTTTATTTTAAAGAAGAATATAATTAATATAAATGATAATCCAAAATAATCCACACAAGAAACAATAATTATATCACAATAATTTGTTAGAAAAAGAAAAAAGTTGTAAAAGATAAAATCAAAAAAGATGAATAAATTTATTAAATAAATGTAAATACTGATATTCAATGTATTTTATACATTAACGATAAAATGAAAAAGAAAATACAAAATTGAGATAAAAATTGAATACATTAAAATTATTGTTATCATTCTAATTTAAGAATTGAATATTTTTTAGAAAGTATTTCTTACAATTTTAACAATAACAACAAATAAATAAAAAGGGGGTAATTGTTGATATGTAATTCTATTTTATAATTATTTCTTATTTTTCTTTCGATAAAATAATAAATCAAATAACAGTAAAATGATTAAAATTAGTTTATATTTGAAATTATCGAATGAATGATGTTTAATTTAAATTAAGAACAAAAACATGAAACTATATCAAATGTAATGTTAATACAAAGAAAAATAAATGCGATAGGAAAAAAAGAAAGAGGAATTAAATGAAAATAATAATAAAATGATACTAAATCAAGAAATAGGGTAAAATAAATGACAGGATAACAGAGTATTTAAACACAAACTAAGAAAGGTTTATTCATTAAAATGATCTGCATTATTCTTCTATTTATTACTGTCTCATTATCAAAGCAATGTAGTGAATTTGAACAGTATCTATACATAATAGATACTGTTGATAGTGCATTTGAATGTATTGAATCTATTCAAACAACAGAGGGTGCAAATAACGCTATTATTAATGATTTAAAATACTATTTAGAATCATATGTATTTAAAGACATATTAAAGAATCCACCACAACCATCATTTTCAAATAATTATTATGAGAAAGTAGATATTGATTCAAAACTAGATAAAATAAATACAAAAACTACAAGTCTGTATGAATTTTATTCAGAAATTAATAATCTTATTATTTCAACAAGAGATTCTCACTTAGCTTTTAGTATAAAAAATGAAAATGATTTTAACATCAATGAAAATAGTGAATTAACACTTTTCTATTATTTCCTTCCATTTTCAATAAATATTGAGAATGATAAGAAAATGTATTTAATTCCAAGGTATTCCTTCAAATTTAGCGTTGTGAATCCACCAGATGAAATAAAAAAGAATATGAATGTACCAGTTAAAACAATAAATGGAGAAGATCCATTTAATATTATTCGTGAATTTGGAAAGAAATATATGAGATTAAAATGTCCACATGCGCAATTTACATTAGCAAAAGATGAATTTGTTGAAGGTAGTTTAAGTTATTTACCATTGACAAAAGAATATTTAAATACACCAATAAGTATTACATGGGAAAATGGAGAAAGTGTGAGTGTTAATTATAAAATATATAGAGAAACAGCAAGTGTATCAAATAGCAATGAAAAACTAAAACAAGGAATTAGAAAACCATTAACTGAAGAAGAAACAAAAGATATAATCAATACAAAGAAAGCACTCGATGAAAATGATAGAATTACAAGAAAATTTACATCAAAAGATAATAATATTCATTGTTCATTTTCTGTGAATGGTGTAAACACATTAGTAGTTCGTTCTTTTGATACAGAAGATGAAAAAACATATGAAGAAACAATTTTAAATTGTATTGATTTGTTTGATTCTAATAATTATCCTATTCAAGTCATATTCCCAAAGAATGGAGGAGGATATAGTATTTATTCACAATGGATAGAAAAGATATTATCACCATATGATGATGTTAATTATATAGTTTCATTGAGAGAATCAGACTACACAAAGCATGTGTTAAAAACAGGATTTGCTGTAAATTTATATGATCCAAAAACATGCCAACAAAGAAGAGGTAAATGGACAAGTAAAATTCCCATAATTAATTCATTCCCACTTGGAGATTGGTACTCAAAACCAAATATTATTAAATATGGTGATGTTGAACATAAAGTTACACAGCCATCAATTGAAGTTTTTCCAAAAATGAAATTAATGAAACATCCAAGAAAACCAACAGAAATAGTAGTTTATACAGATTCATATTGTTATTCAGCATGTTCATGTGTAACAAAAGGATTAAAAGAATGGGGAGGAGCTATTCTTGTAGGATTTGATGGAGATCCATATGGTAAAGATGAAGAATTTGAAGTAGGATTGTCACCAACAGCTGTTATTGAATCTGTTCCTTTACTCCCTCATATATGGATGGGAGTATATGGATATAATCTTAGAATAAGTGTTGGAGAAAGATACAGATATAATTATGAATACAATGAAACAATTCCTAGAGAATTTTTAACAGATATGATTGATGAAAGAGTGAATATTTATCAATTTTCAAATTATAAGATAAATGAATTTGCAGAACAAACAAAGAAAATAATAGAAAAATATCAAACAAAATGTAATCCAAAGAATAAAAGATTAGTTAAAAGAGATAGTAAATGTGATAACGAAATTAATATTGAACATGGACATGGAGGATATGAATGTGGAGATAATGGAGAGTGGAGTTCAAAATGTGTACTAGCTTATTGCGATGAAGGATATAAATTTGATTATATCAACAACAAATGTATTAAAGGCATTTGTTCAAGTGGAATGCCAATAATGACAGTAAACCTAGTCATGATAATACTTGGAATAATCACATTAATTCTTTAATTGAAGAAGGTTTAATTTGAAATATAATTTTTGTTTAATAAAATAACGATAAATAAAGGAGGAAATAACGAACAAATAAATAAAAATTAACTAAATGACACTTTGTATGATAGAAACAATATTTTCATATTTCATTTGTTATATTTGTTTAAATGAAATAAAAAAGAATAAAACATAATTTTAATTAACCATATATTCAAAACTAATAATACAAAATGTGTGAAAATGATTATAATTATAGTTCATTATTTCATTGTCATTTATTTCAATTTATAGAAAATATAAACAACAAAAACATTAAAATAAAATCAAATTATTGTTTTGATCAATATTCTTCATTTCCTTCATTATAATTCAGTACTTTCTCTATTTCATATATTTTATGATTAGATTTACGTTCAGACTTAGTTCGTGGATTAACAACATATCTATTATCTTCTGTAACAATAATTCCTAAATATTCATTAATATCAATCTCATCAAATAACCATTCTCTTTGCAATTCTATTTTAAGTTTGAGTAAGTTGATAAAATCATTTGATAATTTTTGAACTTTTTCTAACACACTTAATTGTTCTTTAAATGATTCAATTTCATCTGTTATTTTTTGTGCCTCAACAAAGTTATTAAATGATGAATGTAATTTATCTAATTGTTCTGGAGTAGGTTTGATAGCTTTTATTGCTCTTCCAAGTGGTGTATTATTTAATGCAAATGAAGGTAATGAATTATTTTGTTTGTTTGTATTAGATGATTGAATTATTTCTTTATTTTCTTTACTATTAGTTTCAGTTTTTGGTGGATTAGTATTCTCTTTTTTAACATCTTTTTGTTGTTCATTTGTATTTTCTTTTTCTATTTTATTTTGTGTTAACATATAATCTATTATATCTTTTATTTTAAATTGTTGTATCAATGAGTCAGTATTATAAATTGAAACAGCAATATCTGTTATAGATTCTACTTTCTCTATGATTACTTTTCCAACTTCAGTTGCTGCATTTCCCAATAACTTTTCTCTTTCTTCTTTTTTTTCATTAATTTCTTTTTTCAGTTTATCTATTAAATCTTGATTGTTATCTAGGTTTAAATTCTGTGCTGTTTTTATAATCTTTTCAATTGGAAATTCACTGAATGAATATTTGTTTGTAAGAATCTGTACTTCTGCATCTAACCTTTTATTAATCTTTTTATAAAATTCTCTGACATTTGAACTTTCAATAAATATTGTTTTACATTTTCTATTATCAACAAGAATTTTACATCGACTTATTCTAATTCCAAGAAGAATTTGTGTATTTGTTAAATACAAATGTTTGTATTTAATAGCAAGCTGATTCAATCTTTTCCTAAGATTTGTCATTGTTTTTAATTCTTCATATGATTTGTCGCTTAATAATTCTTATTGTCTTGTAAGATAATAATTCACTCTATTAATTACAAAACAAAAACACATTCTTCTCCATTCATCTACTGTTGGTTGAATTATTTTCTCACACCCATATAAAAATGTATTTAAATCATTCAATTTTTCATCTTTACTTTTTTCGTAAGATGACATTATTTCAAATAATTTTGATTCTAATTTTTGATAAAATTCATTATCACAAACTGTCATATATTCACT